AATTTTGGCCATAGACTAGTTCATAAAAAAAATTGAAAATACAAATACAGAATAATGTGTTTGAACTTTAAAGTTTTATTTTCCTGTGCTTCGTTTGAGGCAGTGTCTATATATAATACAGTGTTAATAAATGAACTTAATATTACAAATCGCAAAACATTAGAAATTTAATTACTTTATCATACAATTAGTTATTTATCTAATGTGTATGATGTACTACGACTAACCTGTAAACAAATTCACATTTGAATACAAATAGAAATAAGCGTTTTTGCCACGAATTGATAATAAAATATTTGCAAAGCATAAATGCCAAATAAAGTGCACATAGTTTTGACAACACTGTTCTGGCAACAGTGAGTTGCTTGCTTCTGAATAATTTAATGCGAATACTTTAACAGTCAAATTTATTCCTGTTTGTTTCATTTGTATAAGTAAGATATGATTGCTATTCCTGACTATCGAAATGAACGCAAATATGCATCAAAGATGCTTTGTCTGAACTGGTTAAATAGGATGTTTTCAAATAATAGCCGAGGTGTTAGAAGTGCAGAAATTGCAATAATTCAATATTACGTAGCTGTTTCCAATAATGCGAGAAAGTATATGATGTAGCACTGGTAGTTTCTGTATGTTGGGAAGAGATGATACAATTAAGATATATATATATAATTGTATTTAGCTGATAAGACATCAGTAAATTGGTGAACAGTGATCAGTAAGACAAAACACCCACGATAATGTTCAGCGTTACTGTGAATATACCGTATCAATAAATCATCTTTCAATTATATTTTGCTTTTAAATATTATTTACTTAGAAATTAAACAGTTTCATGCCTAAAATCGTGTCACAACACAAATTATTTCTTATAACGAAACAGTACTTCCCATTTATTATACACATATGATACATGGTACTCAAATTTCAACATGTAAAACAAAACCAAGCAACTACAATACAATTTTATAATTATATACCTACATGTATATTTTTAAGTTATGCCTCAAATTCATATTATGAGTAATACAGATTATTAAAAAGTAAATTGTTTAGTACAAGCATACTGCTTTTCATACATTTTTATTAAAATTAATATTATTGAAACAAAGAGAATTTAAATTAATTTTTTTAGAAGCGTAATTTTATTTTTTTTATGAAAAATACCTACTCCCTAAAATTTACCCTGTCAACAAAAGATCTGAAATCCCACCTCTGTATATAACAGTTAAATAAGTAATTTGTAAATAAAACAGGCTAATAGTAAAGGGGGCCAGAAATGTAGGGGGCCCTCCCATTTGGTTTAGGCCAGGGCTGTCCAACTTAGAAGTGCTTTATCATATCAAATTCTAGTTAAGCTGTGGGCCGCACTGTATTTTAAGATGTTTTTCACCCTAACTACTGAAATTTTACAGAAACAAATATAGATTAAATAGGACTTTTAAACAACATACTTACTGATTATTGAACATACAACAAGAAAATTAATAATCATTAAACAAAAATAAGATGAATTGTACGATTGTTGAGTGTAAAGATTGAGGGCGTTCAGCTTCATTCACCAACGAATTTATGTCCACTTTCAGCTCTGTTGTAGCCAGTCTCATTAAGTATCTAAGTGTAGAATCTGTGAGGTTACTTCTATTGTTTTTAATTAAATCCATTGTTGAAAAAACACTTTCACAAATGTGGCAAACATTGATATACTCAACCCAATACTTTGGGCTACAGGATCACAGGTTACGAAATCTTTCTTTATGCAAGAGTTTGAAAAAATCAGATCCTTTTTCTTGTACTATGTCTGAAAAAAAGGATCTTCTTGCAGATCACATAGTTCCAGTTGAACTCGAGATTCTTGCTTTTCAATGTAAACACCGAGAGGATTGTCAACAGAAACATATCAAACAGATCTGTACAATATGACTTTCAGTAGACCACTAATGTTGAAGTTATTTAATTTTTGTAATTACAGTAATGTAATTATAAAAATATTTAACAGAATAACTAAAAAAACGTTTCACTTGGTTGGTATACTAAAATTTTACTTGGCAGTACAGCCCCTGAAGAGGACCGCGAAATGTCGGTCGACATGTCGGCACATCAGCCATCGACGCAGCGTCACCCGGACAGCCCAGATCATGATATGCACTTGTGAACGCAAAATGGAAGAACAGTATTCTTCGCTGATGATATGAATATTCTTTCCAATAAAGAAACAGTACATATTACAATATCACAAATTTCTGAATGATTTCATAAAAACGAAGAAGTAGGAAACCAATGGAAAAAGGTTTCAAAGCAATTCTCCATTTCAAATAAAATATGGTCTCAATTCAGTCAAATGTCGAGTTCATTTATTTAAATGAATTAAACACAAAATTAAGTTATGCCCATAGGTGGATCCAGCTGATCATTAGGGGAGGGGGGGAAGATTTTTGTTAAATAATAAACATATTTGTTATTATATTCTGAACTAATTATGTACTGTAGATACAATAATATTGTTTAAATAATTACATAAGTATAATATAGATAAATATTTAAATGAATTTTGCCAAATAAAGAAGGTGATTGAAAACTCTAGGCCTTGAGGGGGGGGGGCTTGTCCCCCTGCTTCTGCCACATGATCAGAAATTGCAAAAGCAGTCAAGCCTTCATACCGCTTACTGTGTATATTTCGAGACTGTTCAATCCGCATTCCAGCCAGAGATGTGGCATAATATTCTGGGGAAATACATACATAGCTCCCCGACTAAAATTACAGAAGAAATTGCACAAATAATAAGCAACTACCCACGTGTTTCTTTATTAAACTAAGTATTCTACCATTCCTTGCAAGTTACCATCATATGAACAAATGACAAAGATAGAATGTGTAATATTCCAAAGCACAAAATGGGAAAAAATGAAAATTCCCGCAGGGCAATGGATTACTAATAGTGGGGTTGCAGTTGCATGATATTCGCTCAGAACAGCCAGTTAAGCATAAAAAGAGATTCATCTGAAGACGAAAACTTATTTGTCCCTCAGCATATCACTACACACAATACAAATATAGGGGGACACCGATCGAATGTATCAAGTTATAAATCAGTATCACATTTCTGCCGGAGGCAAAAAATCGTGCCTCATAGATGAAGCAAAAAGAATGCATAGCAGTTACATGAAAACAGGAAGGAAAATTGCTAAGTTAGAAATTATAAGACACATTGCCATCACATACTTCACAAGATATATAACAGCTGTAAAATCTGTGGGTCAAACAGCTGTTATTTATAAATATATATTTATTCTAGTTAGATTATATGAATGGCTGAAACAAGAACAGTCTAAGTGACATTTTATAAATTCAGAGAAATTTGTATCAATATCATTGTAAAGTCATGGTGCTTTGTTTCATAATTAAAACCATGAAAATGCATTCCAACTGAAATATAGCCTAAAATAAACACTGTTTTCTCAGGATTTATAAAATGTCACTTCCACAGTACTGGTTTTCACCCATTAATATTATATATAATCTGGCTAGAAATTATTGTAAAAGATTAATAATTAAAATTATAATATTTTTATTCCAACTTCAAAATTTATATGTTAATATTTATCTCGCTGTGTACAACGCTAGTGGCTAAACTGTTCAGCCAATTTTGTCAAAAATTGATATGCCTCGATCAATCTAGCTGATGTCGCGGCTCCTTGAATTTGAAACAGATATTTTCGTTTTGGGGGTACTTTCCATGAAGCCACTGCGACATTTTCAAAATTTTCTAAAAAATGACCCCATTGTTGTTAGATAGTGTAAAGGCCATTTAAGTGAATGGTGCAGGTCTCATCTTGGTTGAAAACCCTGAGTTTCGAAAATTGCTAAAAGTTTTAATATTTTTTGGGGACTTTCTAAAATTAAAACATTAAAGATAAACAATTTTTCCCTTAATGAATTCCGTTCTTTAAAGATATATTTTGAAATAAGGTCATGTATGATTATTCAAAAATTTGAGTACTTTTCATGTTATTTGTGTGAAAATACCAGCAACAGAGCACACGAACTTTTAACACTACTAGTTTCATGTAGATGTATAACAATACTTCCATAGTCCTGGAGCCTCCACTTCCACAGAAAGACACAACACAACTGGGCCTTCGTGTTGTCCAGACTTGCAAGAATATTTCCAGCATGGTGGAGCAGGGAGAAAAAAAACTAAAATAGACAAAATGAAAATCTACTAAAACGATTCCAGAAGGAATAATTAAGTGATTCCAATTGTTAAAAGTCATAAAATTGTCACAAAAATAAAAAGGAATTTTGCCAAACTTCTGGGCTCTAGATATGACTGAGTAGATCATTAACTCAGAAGAGGAAAATAAAAAGAGATGTGCTAAAGATGCCAAAGAGTTGAGTCAATGTGCATGAAATGTGATGTCGGTTTGTGCTTGACATGCAATATATATCAAACAAAGAAATTAATACTCGATTTTCTGATGTTTGAATTCATAAACTTTTTAAAAACAACTGATTAGGGAAGTACAATTAGTTTACCACTGATACTAGTCATAGTCTATTTACTGAATAAGTGCCCACGTTTTGCAAATAAATGCCCACCTAGTTACATATTTTCTCACTTTCAACCCAGTCTAGTTTTTATCCCTAAATAACAAGGGTATTGAATAGGTGTCATGGGGGCAACTGCAGCATGCACACACACACACACACATGCCCAACTATACTACGCACCGCATTGGTGTGTGGTATACTTTTGGTGGCTTAATCTAAAGTTTTTGAATAAAAAATCTAAAGAAATTTGAATCTTTCGATGAATAATAATTCTTGCCTGTAGAGGGTTAGGTTAAAAATATCACAAACTTTTAAAGATCTGTGCACGTAAATACAAGTCAAAATGCAGGTATTCCTTCTCATGGTTCAAAGTCAAAAACCCCCACATTCAAACCATGAATCACAGATGGGTCTTTGGCTGGTAACCAAATAAAAAACAAACACACAATATACTCTGAAAGGATATTTATGTTGAACTGCCTCCAGATCAAATACAAAACATTGTAACAATGTATTGTTTTTATAAATTAACAATTAAGAACAATAGAATGAATCTCATAAAAACTTCGCTAAAAATTTCCAAATTAATACCAATGAAGTGAAATGATGGAAAACATATTTTTTAAAACCAATGGTAATAAATTTAACCACAATCATGTGCTGGCTGCAGTTGGGGCTGGTTTCACAAATGGTATCAAGTCCTTATATTCTGGAACAAATAGAAACAACATGAATTTGTACTGAAGAACAACTTTGGTTCAATTATTTTGAGACAAAGTTATCATTAAGAGAAAATATTTAAATAATATTATAATATAATGGAAAAGAAAACAAAATAGGCATTATTTCAATTTTATTACATGCTAGCATGTTCATAAAAAATAAGCTTTTCAACTTTAGTATTGTACTTTTCAAAAAATACTTAAAACAAAATCATTAACTTACCAGGAGGCATATACGGCTTAAGTGCTTCTGGGACTTTGATTCCATTCTCAGTTTGATTCACTTCTAACAAAGCGCAAATGACACGTGTTGTGGCACACATTGTGGCATTTAGCATGTGAACATATGGGACCTAAGACATACCGTTTTATAAAATACAAACAAAAACAATAATAATAATAATAATAATAATAATAATAATAATAATAATAATAATAATAATAATAAAGTTAATAAAAATAATGAAGATGATTATGGTTTGACAGGTGTAACAATTTCTTCTGCCAAGAAGCTTTGAAGTTAGAATGGTCTTTGCCAATTACCAAATAGGACATATATTCCTAAATAATTGTCAAAAATGACAACTGTGACCAGGTGGTGAAATGTAAAATAATAATAATAAAAAGTCATCATAAAATAATAATAATAAAAATAAAAAGCAGACATACCGCAGTGTTCATTTTTTTAGTTTTTCCATATCGAATCAGAAGTCTTCTTGATTGATAGTCTAAACAATTGCTGCATGATACAAGTTCTCTAAACGCACCTGAAACAATGACAAAAATTAATTTTCACCAATACAAAGATCATACATGATTATAGTTTACATTATACATGATCAATTCATGACAACTAGATTTAACCAAAATAATGAACATTCGGGAAATTGTTAACAATTTTATAAAAATGGAAAATTTCTATAATGCCCACACAAGATTCTGAAACTTTGATTCATCGCTGTTTTTTAGGTTAATTCCAGTTGTCCTTACACTTTCCTCTTTGTTGTATAATTCATTTATTCACTCTTACAAATCACACAGTTGCGATAATTTTATACAACACTTTTTTATGCAATATTCTTTTCATACATATGTAATAAGCAAAAACCATTGCCCCGTAGTGACATCAGCATTCTAATGTCTATTATAAGATAAATCTAGTGTCTCTTATTATTCTTTGCATGCATTACTCATATTCATTGGTAAATGTATGCATATTATCAAATGTTTTTTTACAATCACTGTAGAAAAATAATCTGTGTGGTATGGAAGTTAGTGTCACGAAGGAAGTTCACAATCACAAAACAACCTTTGGTTTCCTAAGGATGGTTAAGTTGGTTGCTCATGGCAGTCTATTTGAGTAATAATATACATGAGAGAAACTAACAAGGAGTCCTACAAAAAGTTCTACAAATGAAAAGATTTTAACTACAATTGAAATCCATTATTAAAAATTTCCTCAAAACATTTCTCATTTTTCTATCATTCTGTCATCAACAGAAGTTTTCATAATCATTTTCATGTAAGGGTTTTCATTTCTCATGCAACAATTTTGATAATGAAAATTGTCTTTCTTTTAAAATACAAGAAAGAACAGTTATATCGTCCTGAGAATTTAAGTTGACCATCTTTGCCGGAACTATCACATACTTTTTACCTATTCAAAATATTTCTTGAACGAGAAAAACAATGGCATGTAGAGTACAACCAATTGCACATATTGGAACTTCAAACCTTGTCTAAGACAACTTTTACAATGATAATGGAAAATACAATTAAACTCATGTGAAATAAGAGCTTTTTAAAAAATATTTCCAGCAAACAAAACAATAATTTATGAAATGAGATGAAAGGGTCGGTATTCTTAGCTTGGTTATTCTTAGTTGTGGACTCTGACGAACAAAACCCTAGTAGGAGCATGCTACCCCCATGCAAATCCCAAAGCCCCCACTCTTCCTCAAGCTTCCATTGCCTCGTATGCACCAGCTACAGACAGACTCTGGATAGTCCACGATTTTATCCATTCCGAAAACATTTGTCTTTCGCATAAACCGGCAGATAAAAACTAAAATCATCCTCATAAATTGCACTGGTGGTATGCATAAATTAAACAAGTCTTGCAAGCTTAATACATTCTGCAACTTCTCCCAAGGTTGGTTTTCCTAGGGAGGGCGCCACCCAAGAACCCTTAACCCTTCCGCGTGAGGAGCAGAACGGCCGCCGCGTCATCGACTTGCGGACAAAGTGAGAGGGTGCGGTCTACCTGGGCGCGG